GCCCCCGCGGCTCTGCTGCGCTCCGTGCGCCGCCTGCGCGAGGTGTTCGAGGTGTGCGGCCGCGACCCCGACGGCTTCCTGCGCGTGGAGCGCGTCGCGGCGCTCGGCCTGCGCTTCGGTCAGGGCGAGGAGGTAAGGAGCGCGCGCGGACCCGCGAGGCTGCTGCAGCCCTGCCCGGGCCGACCTCCTTCGCCGAGGCCGGGGCAGAGCACGGAGCCCTGCGCAATCTCACCCGACCTGCCCACCTGCCCTTCCTCGCAGCGCCTGGCTCTCCGGGCGAGCCCCGGCCCACCTTGATGTTTGGGGAGCGGGTAGAAGCTCTCACAATCTAGCCTCGGGACCACCACCCCCCGCCCCGGTGGAGACAGGTCGCAGGGGTCTGTGTGCGCCCCGCCAGGCCTAGGGGTGACAGGGACGAGCAGGGGCGCTCTGCAGCTTAGGCTCCTTAGCTACATCCACCTAATCTAGAACAGAAGGAGGTGTCTGCTTGGGGCCACCCTGGTTTCTGGCCCAGTTCCTGGTGACCTCCCACTAGGGCTGGATGGGCAGGCCTGGCTGGCAGCAGGCTGTGCTGGCTGCGGTAGGCTAGCCAGGGCCAAGCTGGGCAGTGATAGCTGACCGGTGTTGAGTGGTGGGCCGCATGGGTGACGGAGAGCAGAGTTGTGTGGATCGTCAGCAGGACTGGAATGGCAGGGATGGAATGGACAGGAGGATGACTAAATACCGATGGAGCTAGTGTCCTCTTTCCATCCACTGGTGGCTGTGTCCTAGGAGGAGCCATTCCACCCTCTTCTTCCCACCCTGCAGTGATCTGGGTCTCCTCCTGGTAACAGAAGTCCTGACTGAGTAGTAGGTTTCCAAGGCCATCTGAGACCTCAGGCCCTTCCTGGGTAGCTTGGGGCCTTGGTCTCAAATGGGCACTGGCTGGCATTCTGGTCCCAGGACAGGTCAAGCTGGCATTTTAGAACATGGGAGGAGCTGGGCTATGACCAGTTGGGCTTGTGCCTCCATGTCACCTGACAAGTGGGAGGCAATACACTTCCCTTCCTAGGTAGCTGGGCACTGGCCAGGACCTGGGAATCCCTGACAGCAGTAGGTGGAGGTTGGAGGCAGGTGTCAGGTGAGAGGACTCTGTCCCCTATCCCAGGGAGTTCGCTGCTGCAGCTCTGTCGGGAGCCCATCCTCTCCCTTTTCTCTGCTTTTCCATGGAGCATTTCCTGCTGCTGCCTCCATCCTTCTTCCCCAGGAGTCAGCAGAGCCACCCTCCTTTGGCCAGCGCCTGCCAACCTGAGCAGCCCCAGCATAGGAAGCCCCAGGCTGAGCACCCCCAGCACAGGAAGCCACAGGCTGCTGGTGAGAGGAAGCCTCCTCCCTTTGGCTGGAATATGGAATTTTAGAATCACAGAGACTCAGGCTTGGGGATGGCTTCCTGGCAGCCTCTGACAGGAGGCCACAGCCCTATTGTCTTATCCCCAAGCTGGACAGCTCCTATCATTAGACCCTCCTCCCTCTGCCTGCCAAAGACTAGCCTGCTTGTCACAGTTCTGCAGGACTCAGGGTTTCTCTTCTGCACGCCAGCCTTTCAATGTGTGAAAACATAACTTCTCTGCCCTGTCCCTTCTTACCCTGTCACTCTCACTCTCTCATCTTCCCTTCTCCATACCGAACACCCCCGCCTGACTCCCCAAGCCATTTCCAATGCACTCAGCAGGGGCCAGATTTCTGGACCTGTCATTGATTGGCCTGGCAGTAGCATGAAGGAACTGGGACTGGACCTGGTCAAGACAGACAGACAGACACACACACAGCAGGAAGCTGCCTTTTCAGTGGTGCCTTCACACTCTCCACTCACACCAAGTTTCTGACCACTGACCCCTCCTGGGATCCAACAAGCCTCTAGAGACCCAGCCAGAGGTCCTGCACCCTCGGGAGGGCCAACGATTTATTTCTTATTAAAATATAATCTTGTATCACAACAGGAGTAATTTCTATAGGCTATAGCACATTGTTAATGTGCACAGTTGAGAATGATCTCTTTTTTTCTGACCCCCATGGTCATCTCCTTCTAGAGCTGTTCTTATGTGTATATGTAGTTTTCTCCTGAAAGGAGATCATACTGCATAGTGTGTTATAACCTAGTCCTAGGCCCTTTCCCATACACACACCCGGAAATGATCCTTACCTTGTTGTCACATTTAATATGCAGACATCTTTCAGATTTCTCTATTTGGCCCCCAAATGTCCACTTCTGATGTTTTTTGTTTTTTGAATCACTGACCCCTGGCTACTCTGATTTTTTTTTTTTAATCTTTTTGCTCTCCAAGACTGTGCTGTGCACCTGATTGCTGTGACCTTTGGTCTCTTACTCCGACACAGCCTCCTTCATGATTCTGACTTGCTAGAAAGGTCAGGCCTGTTCTCTCATTAATTTTGTGACTCTAAGCCTGTGACTTGGCCTTCATTGCTATTCAATTTCATCTTGTTCATTTCCTCTCATATGTGATCCTCCTTCCTGACTGTGCTGCCTGAAGCAGCTGGTGCTGTGTGTGGGAATTCTTAGGCTGAGTAAGAACTCAAGGCAGGACCACGGACAGGGCCCGAGGTGCAGGTGCTGTGCTGCTCTATTCTAAAAATACTATGGAAATAGACCATTGACTGCACATCAGATTCACAGACACACAGGGCCACTGTTCTCTGTAGAGGGGGTTCCTTTCCAAAGTGCTATGGACTCTGACAGCTTCTGTTTCGTTTTTTAAGAATCAGCTGGTGATGTTGATTTTCCAAACCATTGGTGCTCTAGAGTAGACAATGATTGATCATTGATTAGATATGGGGTTCAATGTCTATATTTTACCAGCTGCCCTAGAATACCAGGGAGACCAGGATCAAATGCTTTTTAAGAGCTAAAACACAATAGGTTGCACAGTATGAAAGAAATACCCATAAGACATAAATGATTGGATTAATAGAAAAATCTCTCATACAGAAGAAATCCAGGGGTGACGTTGTTCAGTTAGTAGAATGCTTCCCAAGTGTGCATAAAGCCTGTATTTGATTCTTAACACTTCATTAGAAAAATGGACATGACTGCATAAGACCAGGCCCATCAGCAACCTGTCATGGAGTGGGGAGGGACTCAGGAGGCCCCAGCCCTCCCTGAGCATTTATAAACAGTTAATAGTAGCTGTGGAGGAGGAGCTCATGAGGGAAGACGTACCCCCTCCCTGAGGACCTATGGGCAGTTAATGGTTGCTGGAAGAGGGAAAAACATTTTCTTCAGCAGTGTAGCCACTGGTAAGATGGCCATGCCCTTCTAAATGGCCTCTCAGCCAGGCTCCTGTAGGCAGCCCTTATGAAACTCACTGAGTCAAACAAGCAACCATGAAAGTAGATGGAAAGCTAGTTGGAAAGAGGAAGATTAGTGGGGGGTGGCGATGAAGGGTGGATATGGTCAAAATGCATTCTACACATGAATGAAAATGTCATAATAATGCATTAGCTGTGGTGTGTCTGTGCTAAAAAAGAATGTAAGGAATGCCCATAAGCACCTGTGCATCTCGTTGGAGACTCTTGAAGCAACCTGAATCACTTGGCAAATCCTCTCTGAAAGGGGGTTATTGTTCCCAAGACATGGGTTCTCTTGAAGAAGGAAGCATTCAGGCTTGGGCTTGGGAGGAGCTGACATTGCCCCTGACTCCCTTGCTCAGATCTGAAGCAGGACATGTGGACCTTGACGGAGGAAGAATCAGATCTTCCAGCAGTAAGAGGTGCCTTCAGAGATTTCAGTGGGTAGGGAACCTCAAAGTATGGAAGCATCCATGAGCTCCCCTGGGTGTTTAGCCTGTGGGGCAGCACCTTACCACTTACTACCACATGGATGCAGAGCAGCCTTCAGATCCAGCCTATGCATAGACCCAGGAACTTACCCAGCACCAGAAAGAAAACCAAAGATAAAGGAGGAGGAAGGTCACAGAAGCAAGTGAAATTAGGGGTTTTAGCTGGATCAGGGGCTAGGGAGGCAGCACTGGGGGTAAGGCTGGGTCACATGAATTCTGTGGCCCTCCAGGGACAACCCAGCTGTTCCTCCTTCCTCAGATCAGATACCCAGAGAAGAGTGGTGCTGGGCACATAGCCTAGGGAGGAAATGCATATTTGGGACTATTCCTGGAGAGTACCAGTCTCTCCTGGACACAATCCACCCAGGCACAGTGGAACACCCATGGTCCTCACTCATTTGTATGGGGTGTGATAGGAGGGGTACAGCTTTGACTCTGGACTGTGTGTTAAGGGCTCATTTCCTCCTGCCCCAAGAAGTCCCCCCGTCCCAGGTGGGGAAAAGAAGGACACCTAGAACCTAGACAGCTGGCTGGGATGGATTGCTCAGCACAGCAGAACCCAGGCAATGTGCAAGGAGCTCCAGCCTGGAAATAGAGTATGCATGGCAAGTTAACTGCTGGCCTCCCCATCCCCAACCTATGTCCCCAGATTTTTTGTTGTTTTGTTAGGTTTTTTTGTTGTTTTATAATATTTTATTTATTATTTTTATTTTATGTGTATGAGCATGTTGTCTGCCTGTATGTAAGCGCACCAGTGTCATGCAATGCCTGTGGAAGTCAGAAGAGGGCATTGGATCCCCTGGAACTAGAGTTAAAGACAGTTGTTAGCTGCCATGTCCTCAAGCCCGGGTCCTCTGCAAGAGCAGCTAGTGCTCTTAACTGCTGAGCCATCTCTCCAGCCCTTGTTTTTTGCTTTTTAAGACAAGGTCTCCCTGTAGCCCCAGCTGGCCTAGAACTCATTATGTAGACCAGACTGACCTTGCTCTCACAGAGATCCACCTGCCTCTGCCTCTTGAGTGCTGAGATTAAAGATGTGTGCCCCCATGCCCAGTGTTGTGTTCTCACATTTTTATTTATTTATCTTTTTTTTTTTTTTTTTTTTTTTTTGGTCTCCCTGTAGCCCCAGCTGGCCTGGAACTCACTATGGAGACCAGGCTGGCCTCGATCCCACAGAGATCCACCTGTCTCCGCCTCCAGAGTGCTGGGATTAAAGGTGTGCACCACCACGCCTGGCATCCCCACATTTTTATAGAATTTGTTTGTATTTAATATATTTATATTTTAGTTTATGTTTTG